ACTGGGAGGTCACACCGCCGAACGCGTTCGCGAACTGCAAATGCGAACGTGAGATCACACACGGTGCACGTGGGCGCGTGTCGATTCTGTGGCTCTGTCCACCGGCTACAGACGCGTACCCTTTCTGCTTATGATAAAATCTGCATAGCCTGATGGTTTTAACTTGTAAGTTTATTGTATCAGTCTGTGTGATTGAAATTGCTGGGTTATTGTAAAAAAAAATGTGGTGAGTAATCGAAGCTGTCTGTCCAATTGGGGTCACACGAACCCATTGAAGCCCCTTCCGTGCCCTCCCCCTAACAGTTTCCATGGTCAATACTACTGGCATTGCATTGAAAATGTGATGGACAACTTGAAATTCATGGAAACTACTCTATTCACGTCATCAATATCCCTGGTATGGTACAATAATATGTGCATAACAAACTGTATTTTATGGATTGAAAGCATAGCCGCCATTGCCTTTCTCGCTCAATAACAGTTGCGGTGTGGCGATTCCCCAGGCTCAGGTGGCGTGGCATCCCCTCACGTGCCCAGACATTCGCCGAACACGTTCGCGAACGCGTTCGGCGGGCGAACCTCCCAGTCGCCTGGACGTTCTCGAAAACCTACAGCGTGCTACGTTCACATTCACGCGTCACTTGATTCATAAAAGTTAATCTATATCAACGAGCGGATGCAACGTTGGTTGTACATTTTTGTTAAATGTACTTGCGGTCTCGTTACCTCTATCGAATGAACTTGATATTGGGAAAATCAGAAATTCAAAACCAACGTTGCATCTTCTGTATCATGACATCCCTGCTGGTACATTTTATATGCGTGATTTCGACATGCGGAAGGCTCTATGAAGGCGGGGGATTTGCGACCACTTTCTTGCAGAGTCCAAACAGATGCAAACAACTCGCCGCGCGACCCGGAATTGCGCCTCCCCACAGGAATGCACTCGGCCGGACCAATGTTCATCATCGGGGCAGTACTGAATCGTCAATGTACTCCAAAGTGTCATGCTGAGCAGCGTTCGTGATGGTATTGGAGGTTTCGAAACTCAGAGGCACACCACAACGCCTGCACTGCATGACAAGTAAGCCACATCCTGATGACTCGTTCGCCCCAACATGAGGCCGTAGGCGCATATAAGAGAGGGGGACTGAGCTAGTGAAGCACAACAGAACGAACACCACCCATCACACAGTTTACGACTATCTAACCACATTTCACGACACACATGCCCCTCTTCGGAAACCGCACTCACAACGCTGGTATGACCGGCAACAACACTGGCATGGGCGCCGGCAACAACGGATACGCCAACGACGGTATGGGAGCTGGTAATACTGGCTTTGGCCACGCCTCTGCTGGCGCCGGTACAGGCACAGGCTACAACGACGACGGTTATGGACGCCACCACCGAGGGGTACGTTATACGTCAACCTTTTCCACGACAGGACTAACGTCTTGGCGCATAGATGGGTGCTGGTGCCGGTGCCGGAAACATAGGCGGTCCCGGAACGGGTGCTTCGGGCGCCACTGGTGGATCGACGGGAGGTGGCAAGTCCATCGCCGGCAAGATCGAGCAAGCCGCGGGGACGCTGTTTTGCAGCGCGCCCCTGCAGCAGAAGGGTATCGCGAAACAGCAGGAGGCTGCTGCGACCAAGATGCACAACCAAGCTACCATGCTTGAACAACAGGCTGCTGGAAATCGTGCCGGTGCTGCTAGTGAGTCTTCTCACCCGGCAACTCAAATGACTTGATATTAATCCGTCAATATTCTCAGGTGGAACGACTGGTATGGGCACTGGCCCTGGGACAGGTGGTCGGCGTCACCATATGGGGGGCACCGGCGGAGGTGTCGGTGGTATGGGAGCGAATCGTGGATATTGAGATGCGGTCGCGGATTTGCCAAACGATACCCAGCATAGCATATTACCTCTGTAATGTAGTGGAGCCTTAGGCGGCGTGTATAACCATGTATCCTTATACTGTTACCCAAGACAAGTCAGTCAGTTACCTCAGCGCTAGGTCTGGGCAAAGGATCCCATCTGAATTCACCAGTCCGAGAGGCAACTGTTAGTAAGCGCCGGCAATCTTATATTTACACAAGAGGCATGATGTGCTTCCAGTAGTAAAATGCAGTACAACAGTTGAAGGGCCACGTTGACAAAGACAGATACAACCTTTCCGCAAACAGGGTCAACTACTGTTCGGCGCTTGGTACATCACATAAATAATGTAGACAGTCCGCGCGATACACTGGTCCAACTCGCCCTTCGTATGGTAAATCGCGAGCATCTCGCAAAGGCCGAGCCCAGAGGGTGGCGGGGTCCTCTCGCACTTCAGCTGCCCAGACTTCTGCCTCACGTTGCGAGGCAACAATTGACAGGACCCCATACAGCTCTTTACCGTCCTTAAACAACGGAGCAGCCCAGTCTTCTGGGGATTCTACCTCCAAACTCATGGCGCGCCCGAAATCAAACATGACGGCGCTACCAAGGTGCATCTTGGGCACGAGGATATTCCTCCATGAGATGTCGTAGTGGGCCACGCCTAAGGAATGCAAAGCGTAGACGGACTTAGTCAGCGTCGTCATCTTCGGGGTTATGATATGTGGTCAGACTCGTATTTTTGCTGTCCATAGTACCAGTCTGACTCACGAATTTACGGGTCTGTTCCTGGTCGGCCTGGCCTCCGTACATTTTACAGTAGGTACCGGGAGTGACTCCGTCAATATATTCGATGATATGAGTACACGCCACACTCCCACAGGGCAGCTGAACCTGGAGTCAACGCCAGCCTTAGCAAAACATATTGTACGCAACATCCAGACTTACGTCGTAGAATCCGTAGGAGTATGGAATGATCGTTCCCTGAGCTGACCGGAGGCGCTCGTACGCCCAGGCTTCTCTGTGAGATACTTCCTCCTGTAGCGGATAGTCAGCATCCAGCATGCTGTGATACTCCAGCCATTCTGGCTCAGGAAACAGAGATCCTTGGAATAGTTTCGCAACTACGGGAAAAACCGATCCATCTCGACAGATTGCATCGGCTTTCCAGACTTGAGCGAGTTTCTCCAGTCCGGTTGACAATGGTTGGCGAAGGATAACTTCAAATTCAGGTAAGGATCTTCCGTCCAGGCGCAGCTCGGTAACATAGCGCCTCCGATGATGAGGTGCGTATGAGTCTTTCGCCGTCTCATGCAGTGGAGCAAGGGGTTGTCCGAGGTAGGATGTTTGGTTCACTTGATATGCAGGGTGCGGTAGAAAGTCGAAGTTCGGACTGCCGACAAAGTGCAGATTGTGGTCTTGCTTTAGAGGCGACTCGAGACTGGCTGCCTGTCGTCTCCGAAATTCGTCGAGCAAAACTACGAATTCAGAGTGGCTTCGAGGATACTGGACGTTCCAGATTAGACGAGTCATGGTGATGGCATCGAACGTTTCCTCGGCCAGAGAGTGAGCTTTATAGCTCGAGGCCGTGTTATAGTCTTGTGGTGGACCGGCTAAGCCGTACCAGTGATGTTGCGTGCCAGATCCCCTCGCCGACGACTTTTTTTGTACGAGGCCCTAACACTTACAAGCTTGGAAATGTCGCCACTGCAACACGGGGAAATCGGCCAATTCTTGTGCGTACGACGTACTCCGGATCCGACTGCTCCGAATCTCTGATGCATGTCATTAGGCCACTTGCCTTTACCGTGACTAGTACTTAGTTTTGTGTCTCATAAGCACTGGTACCGTTCCAATTCACTGACTCGGACAACCCCCGGTAGGATTTCCTCGGATAGGCCCTAGCATCAGCTATACAAGCAAGCTCGCACTGCAATACACCGCAATGTACCTCAAGAACTCGAAACTTCGAACTCTCCGAGTCCCTCCGGCGTGCAGTTGTGACTTGTGGCACGCATTAGGGTACCCGACTCGTCTCCTGGAATCTGTATAGTGGTCATTCATGTCGCGATCTCGGGTTGGATCTTCAATGACCCTACTTGACAATATTCCTGCCCCACTGGCCTTGTCCTCGCACTTCGGCGGCGCCACCAGTTATTGATGTCCGCCATACCCTCTTCGATCAGGATCAGGGAGCTACTTCGTCTCCTGTGTATACGAGATGTTTTCTTCGGACACCAAGTACTGGCCCAAGGTACATTGTTCTCTCCTCGGATGTATGGACTCTGGAACGCTTTGAGGCTCAGAACTCCAACTTACTGAGAGACATACACGCGTCAGTCATATGCACACCTTATTGACTGTCCCTGTGTTTCATCTCCTGGATGAAATGTGGAAGGTCGGGTGTCCTTGTCTCGGACAAGCCTGAGGTTAAGAAGCCTCTCAACACGAAGTGTCTCGTTTCATGACTGAGGACATAGGTGGGTGCTTGATGTTGAGGACAGACCTCGATGTGTGAGCTCCGTACTAATAAGTGATTATACTAGGGTAAAAGCACAAGGTTTCTTGTACTCCCTGACGTTGCTTGCGTCGAACAAGAACATTCTATGGCATAAAAGGATGCACCCGGCTGGAAGGGCAGTAGATCCAGTAAAGACACCCCCATCGTTGCTTGTGTCCCTCCTTCGAGAATTGCGATTTACGATGCCTGTCACGACAGTACCATATACCACAGCCGATGCATTCGCTCATGCGCAGCTTGCGTATTGCAAGGAGACCCTCAGCCCAGGCAAACCAACAATCTCTGACAGCAACTCCACGAAGCAAGCTGTTGTATGGAAAGTCACACTCGACATGCGCCAGGATTTCCTTCTCGATGGCCTGAGTGTACTCGAAGCCTCTGTCAGGCTTGTGGAAAGTTCCCGGAATCAATGGACAGACACACAAGTTGTCGATACACTGTGGAATGAAGGAGACGTCGTGTAAGTATATTGTCTAGGATTCCAGGGTTTTTAAAAAATCACTGAGAACACGTCAGCGATCGAGTTACATCCAATCTGTTCATGCATACGCGGATCTTCATTGATTGCGTCTTAAAGGCCTTGAGCCCTGGATGGTGCCTCAGCATAGAGGCCCAAGTGGTTGCTAAGGGACAAGGTGATTTGAGCTTCGCAGTACTCACACTTCATTCTGCTCACCGACATCAGGAGCCCGCATGGACCATCTTATTAAGCTGGTCTATGATGAAAACGAGGACAGGGAGAATGTCTTTGATCAGAAGAATGCTTCGAGATTTAATCGTAAGTGCCTCGTCATCGTCGAGGAGAAGGTACGTAATTGCCATTCCTCTCATAAGTGGATACTCTAATACTCATGTTTTATGTAGCGCCCTGGGTTTGTGAGGCCGCACGAGTGGGTTGAATTTGCTGCTTCCACGCTGCCACAATCCGACGGAGAGGTCAAGCCAAACCCTCTGGCCGCTAATGACGCGAAAGACCTGCTGCCTGCTGTGCATGCACATTTACCCCAGGTCTTGAAGTGTGTTCAACCATCCTGTTTACCATTCTTTTGCTCACATGCTATCCAGATACGGGCACAACGTCACCTGCGGACGAGTGTTGCTAATTTCATATGGTCAAGCTGTAGCCTTACGATGGCATGGTGCCCTCAAGGCGAGGGCGGGCTACACTGCTATACAAGGCATGACTGTTTCATTGGAAAGCCAAAGAATATGCCTCGTCGCCCTTATCCTGGAGGCGCTGGTTGACATGAAGTGGATCACTGTGAAAGAGCAAGTACTTGCTCCTGGGGACGAGTTACTCGCGTGCATGCGAAATTACAAAGCGCCCGGATCGAGTGTCTGAGGGTACAACCAGAACCTGTACTATGTCAACTCTGTATTTACTAGCCTGAACCGATCGCAATCGATAACCTGACTTCCCGCCTTGTCGTTTACGATCCCTCGCCCTGATACTCTTGAGTGTCTTAGGGTACTCCGTACCATCATGTCGCATCGCTTCCTCGATCGGAGAGTGATGTATATGATGGTTCGACTCTGTGTTATACTGGGGGTCTTAACAGTGTTAGTGCTACTGGTACGTATGGTCATGCAGTCTTATAATGAAATGTGATTCATCAGGGCCACATTCACATGTTACAGATATAGCCATTTCACATACAAGCTCTACTGTTCGGTGTCTGGACCGGGATCCGGACTGAGCAAGTAGACTCCCGGTGTCATGCATAGGCTTGACTGGGCCTTCGTATGGCATGTCGTGAGCATCACACACACGCCGAGCTCAGAGGGCGCAAGGGGCTGACCCAGGTAAGAACTCTGCGCCACCTGGTAGCTAGGAAGTGGCAAGAAGTCGAACGTCGATTGTGCTCCGAAGCAAAGCTCGTGACCTGGCGCGATGGGCGACCAGCTCTCAGCCCTGCGTCTCGTTGCCCACGCATGCAGGGCTTGAGTATACTCTTCACGGTTGTGCGGGTTGGGAACATCCCACAGCATGGCGGGCGACATGGTGCGATGTGGTATAGTGTATTGGCTCTAGCACCGGTAGCTGTCGCTTTTACATACCAAGCTTATGTGGAGCAGGTGACGCACCTAAGAGGCTGGAGACAATTCCGGGCAACCACCCTAAGTCCTGCGCATGGACTCTCGATGAACTTACGACAATCCATTATTAGTGCTGTAGTACAGCATTATATACGGCGTGCATAGAGGCGAAGGGTGTGAGGAAGTTCTAGCAGAATAGCCGGTAAGTACATCAGCAGTACCATCCACACAGCAAGCGAAATCGACATCAAATAACGAGTTAGAGGAATCATGCAGCAGCACTTCGCTGCTGCGACTCGACGATATACTTCCCAACAGCTCCTTTAATGATCCGCAGCACCTGACTCTTCCTCACTGGATCGTCATCCAGCTTCAGTTTACCCAAGCCCAGTCCACAAAGATACGCGAAGTCGGCCTGGGCTGTAAGAGGTAGTCTCGACCTTTTCTTCCGCCCCTCGACTTTTTCTTTGAATTGTTTGGCAAAGTCATTTGAAACGACGGCCGCACGTTCCACTACTTCCCTTGGTACACCGGCTAAGTTGGCGATGTGCGTACCGAAGGAAGACTCTGCGACTCCTTCTACAAGCTTGTAAAGGAACACAAGCTAGTTTGTGGCGCCTCCAGTAAGCGCGCTTGATATCATGTTGCATGAGTAGCATACCTCGCGTTTTTCATCATCGATTAGTGTCTCCATGTGCATGTTGCGGATGCTGGGGTGGTACGCAAAATCATCCGTCAAAGAACCGTAGTGAGTGGCGAAGAATGACAGCGCCAAAGTATGAGTTGCCAAATGGTGCAGAACAGCACCAGCGATAGCCATCCCATCCTAAGATCGCTATAGTGAGTATCTGCCCACTATTCTTAGCGAAAAGATGCACTCACGTAGGTCGAAGTTCCACGCCCCAGTTCTTTCCCAAACCGTCAGGACACGTTCCTCTGGGAGAGGAGCGGACTTACCGTCCAGGATAACGAGAGATTTGGGTGTTGCGTCGCGGAGAATCTTCGAACTGGAATAGAGCGGTTACATGGGGGCCGAGCAAAATGAGATATTCTTACCATTCATCCAACTCGACCTTGAAGGTACTAGCATTGGCAAACATATTGTCATAAGCTCCCATGCGAGTCAGGATAGCATCCACCGGGCATATTCTGAATGTCAATCAGCCAATCGAACCGCAAATGAAGCCATTTTATCTGACCTGGCTTTGGCGGCCGGCACCAACATCCCCAGTTGAGCCATTATCTATCCAACACCATGAGCGGCCCGCGTCGGACTCAGAAAAAATTACTTACAACGCCAACCGCTGTCATCCGCATGACCGTAGACTTGCCGCTAGGTAGAGCGTAAATGAGTGATTACCAAAGAGAGGATGAGGTAGCATACCCCATATTTGGTCCTATAGATTCCTAGTTAGTGTCGTGCCGTCGTCTATTGTCTATGCAGATTCTCACCTGTTAGCAAAGCAACCCTTCTGCCACCTGATCCGAGTTTGACATCGTTGGGAATGAAGCTGCTTGTTCTAACAGTCAAAGCGGGGTGTCGCAGCTCCTCGAATTCCAACGAAGCGGCATCCCCTTCGATGAATTCGGGGCGGCATGCAGGCTCACCCAGAGCAGTCGATGAATTCGCAAGACTGAACAAACAGTCAAGCTCCGCTAGCACGCGAATTGCGCGAAGCCAGACAGCACGATCAGCATCAAACTCCGCAAAAACACGATTCTTGAACTCTTTGATGATTGTACTGCGATTCTCTCGGGCTTCTTTCAGCTTGCGGATAGTGGGCACAAGTGACGGAACCAGCCAGCGCGAGTAAGCCTGTGGAGAACCTTCATATATGAGGGCGATCTCTGTGAATTCTACCACAAACCTTAGTAGACCCGCTTTTGGTCCAAGTCTTAGGTATTTCTTTGCGAGACGCGGGCGTTTGGACAAGATATATATCCTGTGGCAATGTTCGGGTGACATGTGGTCTATTGTCCAATCGTGTAGAATCCGTACCTTGGTACCTGTAGCACTGTGCCAGTAGTTCAAAGAAAAACTACCAGAAAGGACGTCAGCTCAGCAGTTATTCCAACTTGCGAGACCGCATTATTTACCCCACTTGTTCCTCCAACTTCTGCAACTCGTCTTCGAGCTCTTTTTCAAGTCCAGCGATCTCTTCCATGATACCGTCGTATGCCTCGTCCTTTCCTTCTTTCGGCACGAGTTCGTCCGACCCTGCATACTCAAGTCAGGCAGGGACAAACATTCCCTCGGAACATTGATACTCACCTTTATCCGGCTTGACGAACATCCGTTCAACGTGCTTTATGTTTTGCTTCAAATCAGGTGCTGACCGTAATAAGCCCAAAATTGTTTTCGATTTAAACGTCTCGGAAGCTTCAGCCATGTCTGCTAAGCCTTGGTTAAGCTTGCTGAAAGCCTAACAACCGAGAAGTTTAGGCACACAGGTTGTGCGAGTACTGACTTGGTGACGTACACCGAGAACTTTGATGAAATCAGTGATTTTGCAGTTTCTGGCATGGATGCGTGAAACTATGCGCTCGAGATCAGGCAATCCTTTGACGATATCAGTGAATTCCTTTTCGAAGGTGGGATGATCAAGAAGATCTTCCACAGCATCGAGCCTGCATCCTTTCAGCCACAGCAAAGAAGACATCTAGCTTCGATCTCACCGTGCGTTGATATCCGACACATCTCGTAACGGCATACAAAGCCATATTCGGAATAATCTTTTCCCTGCAGATCATGGAATAATGAGAAAGCCGTAGAACACACTGTCGAAGGCTTACCAAAGGGAGTGACGCAGCGATTAAAGAGCTTATGCAAAGTGCCCTCTTCTGTTCCTTCGCTATTCACCAAGACCTATCACTGAGATCAGGGACTACGCAGCGTAGAAACCGACATGGTGCTTACTTCGATATGCGCCAATGTCTGGCCATCAAGAACAAGCCCTTGCCCTCTCTTCATGGGATCGTAGACGTTGAAATTCTTCATGCTGAGAAGGTCCTTGTCGATATTGAGTTGCCTCAAATACCTAGTCATCTCCAATCAGCCATCTGCAGACAGAGTGGGCGCTAGTAGCCTTACCAGATCATCGATCCCAAAGCGATGATTGCGGTTTTTGAAGGTATCATGGCTCGTATTGCGTCAGGCACCCCGCTCCCCAGAGCATCGTCCTCCATCATGGCATCTTCCTCCTCTATGGGCGGGTACAGACCCTTCAGCTCTCGTATGGTAGAGTCGTAGTCGAATCCTTCGCAGTCTCGGAGAGTTGTCCACATGCATGAGCTGGGCAACACCCCCTTCAACAGACGAGTAGTGGGCACGGAGAGGTTACCCTGACGAAAGGCTTGTAATCCAGCACATCTCTGAAAGCAGAAGGCCTCAGCCTACCTTCGTAAACACGAGTTCCTTTGGACGGAGTTGTCTCATCATCGTCTCCAGCTTTGTCCGACAAACGTCGTCCTCGAAGGAACTGAGATTGAATTCCGACGTGGAACTATCTAGAACGCATATACCAAAGCTGGATATGCTGGCATCCCCGTCGATAGGCTCTTCGCGGATGGAGATACAGTGACCCGCCTGCTCGTCTGACAAGAGTTGGTCATCAACCAAAGTGCCATTGGTATAAACCTTATTCAAATCGCTAGCAGTGGAAGAAGCGGTCAAGTACTTCGGACGCAATGGATGACCTCCTAGTACTTACCGTCGCACGATCTTTTCCTTTGGCTTGTCATCGATGGCCTTACCTTTAGACTTACTCTGCCGCATTTCGGCACCCAGAGCAGTCTCCGCCTGGTCAACTCTCCCGACTTTGTAGCCTATGAATACCACAGGGAAGGTGATCAGCACAGGCGTGTAATGTCCTTCAGATGTCTACCTTTGCCCAAGAATTTGCTATAACAAATGCCTTTCAGTATGAATCTGGCGGCGACCGCAAATTCGTACTCACGCAGCCCAGAAGTCGAATGACATCTCCGGAACGCCCACCTAGGATCAATACGATCAGACATAATTGCAAACGGGACGTTGCTCCGACCATGATATAGAGAGAGTTACTGACCATGCACATCTTCACTCTCTGCGTCAATTTCAAGTCGAATTCACGATGGCCGATACGCGCATCTTCCTCGTACAACTATCACCTCATGTTCAGTGACGGCGAACTGTTGCTAAAGGGCTATTCTACCTCATAGAATTTCCTGAAGTGTTATGTTGAGTGAGAACCCAAATCATACTGAGAAACGACTACTTACCCTTTCTGGAAGAACAGCACCTGGACACCGAGAGTTTATTTATCTTCAGAAGGTACGACTCACGTTGTGCTCACCGTATCATAGTGATTTTGTTTGATCTGTAGTGCCGGAGGGATGCAAACCCACCTTCAGAAACAAGTACTCAGGTTCAAACTGATTGACGTACCTCCCAGAACTATATATAATGCAGGGGAACATGAGCACCGTAGGTCTGCAGAGACTAACGGGGAGGCCCACCTGTTTTTCGAAGGGCGAAAATCCCTTCCACGCACTTTTCGGGATGAACAGAGTCCGCGGGTCATAACCCGGCTCTCCGGGGCGCACACCGTCTTTCTGTATACACTACATGAGGAAGCTCACATTACTCATAACAAAAGTTCTTACGTCTCTCGGGTCGACGAGGAAAGAGAACGGCTCCTCTGTACTCTTCTTCTCGTTTTTCTGTGCTTGCATGCGCTGCTCGGCCGCGGTAAGAAACGTGTCAGACGATCGCCGCCCACTGTCAGTACTCTTCAGTGCTGGCCGGGACGGTGTCGCCTTGCTCTTCGTCCTCTTTGTCTTGGACGGTGCTTCGTCGTCATCCTCTTCGTCGAAGTCGTCCTCTGAAAGGACACTCGAGCGCGATGACGTCGACGAGGAGCGGCCGTGAGTACGACCACGGCCGCGAGCCGGAGGTTCGTCGTCGTCGTCTTCGTCATCCGGGACAATAAAATCGTCGTCATCTCCGGATTGAGAACCTGAAGTAATGCTCAGCATGCGATATAAGGACATATAAAGTGGGACTCACCACGCCTCTTCGTTGGAGACTTGCGGAACCGCGTGAGGCGGTTCGAGAAGGATGACACAGTAGCGCTGTCATCGCCTTCATCATCCGAAGGAACAAGAGATACTCTTGCCTTCTTGACTTGACCTGAATGATAGTGTAAGTAGAGTTCTCATATATGCAGACATTTCCGTACTTTTGGAAGATAGCGGCACAGGCGAAGATGAACGGTAGCTAGAGGATGCTTTATTGGAAATGTCTCCGGGTATTTCTTCTTCATCTGAGTCCATGAGGACTTTCTTCCGCTTAGTGATTCTCTTCAGGACCGTCAGCGTCCTGCGCAGGGATATGCATATGCAGTTTACGAACCGGTTTAGATACGCTGGCTTTTGCGTCCTCCTCCTCAGACAGCATGTCTACATCAATAGCGTCGCTCGTTGGCGGCGTTTCCTTGCTACTACTCCATCCATCCCCGTCCGAAGACCGCGTGTATGTCGCGGCCGAAGGTTGTGAGCTGGACAAGGTCGCATTGCCCGGTCTCTTGAGGTCAGGAGTGCGAGGAGTAGCGGGAGGCTCAACACGGGGCTTCTCCTTGTTCGGCAAGTTCTTCGGATCCTGTCTTGCCTGGGTAGCTTTCCCTTCACCGTTCTTAGGTGCAGCGTTAGGCTTTCCAAACCACGACATCAAGCTTTTTTGCTTCATCTTCTCCGTGGCCTTTTGGGGAGCCATTTTTCTTAAGCTTCAGTACGCAGAGCGCGGTAAAATACGGCAGTCGTCCGAAGTGAGGACTTTTGAGAGGGTATCCACTGCCGTCGCGAGGGACCCGACGCGAGAGCGCGTCGAGATTGTTTGGTTATATGGGCGCGTTTATTACGTAAAACAGCACAGCCACTCACGGATAATGCCGTCCTACCTTAGGGGCAGCTGAACAGAAGCTTTTAAAGGCTCTAATCATCATGCACATGAACTGCAGCTAGAGCAACAGCTTGCTTGAGAAACAAATATCATCGCATAAGGCTCTATGTATCAAGGTGAGAACGTTCGGTACATGTAGCGTATCGCAGCATGTCGCCCACCATGCTTTGGGGCGATCCATACCCGCGCAGAATATGAATCGAGTCATTAGAGCATATTCGGTGTGGTAATTACTACGGGTGGAGCCCCCAAGTAAGGGAATTTTGATGGATTTAAGCGACCCCATTGGCCCCACGCTGTGGTAATTACCACAGCGAATATGCTCTATTCAGGCGGGTATGGTCGCAGCGGCATTGGGCGCGCGGCCACCTGGTCACCACCGGAGGCAGACCATGAACTTTGCTTTGTCGGCCCGCAACATTCGATTTTCTGCTGCTTCCTGGCTACCGCGTAGGACGGACATCTTACTGCGTCAACCGCTTGCAGCATGAAATCCCACAGCAAGAGATGCCTACAATAATCATCCTCGAAGGCGATAATTCAACGATCTCCGCCTGAATACCAGTTCCTTGCCTGCGTTCCCTGTTATTCTACGCGATGTTATATCGACATGCCGCGACACGCTGGCGCAAGTCTGGAAGGCACAAGTGATCTGTCCAAATGGCGCATTCTTTTCCGTGATATGAAATTGTTTCTAGGCTCGTTGTTTCCTGAACCTCAGCGGTTAAACTATCGGGATCGCGTCGACGAAATTTTACCCTGAAAAGGTGAGGACGGCGGTTCCACACTCTTACGGCTTTTACTTGGTACGTCTATCGACGTTGACGGAATACCGTCTAGTGACTCATGTACAGGTGTGACTCCCATGCGAAGACGTTGTATGCGCTCACTATCGACGGCATCACTCCCGGCACCTGTTCAAGGACATTTGGCGGACATCTCAATGAAGAGGAAACTCACAGATTCGTGAGGGACCTATCCGCTGTTCAGACTTCCCATTCCTGATAGGGCCTTCCTGAAATAGCTCACTACCTTTGTCAAGTAGGTCTACGCTCTCCACCATCTGGGAGTAATATACGGGGAAATCCTGGAGGAATATTCTCGTGCCGCGGTCATGTCCGGGTGCCTGTATCCTCATTGACTTTGGCTTCACCAGAACCTTGGATGGTAAGACTCCTGGGCCGCACTGAGCCATACTATCCATTACCTAACCCCTCCACGCCGGCAACAGTGCTGGGCTGACGGCGTACGAAAGGATCCGGCGAACGTTTGGACGCGACCCTTGCAGGACCAGTATGATTTACCGCATGAGGGGAGGGCTCCGTCTGTCTGGGATCCCAACTATGATCATTTGTCGGCCGGGATCGTCATCAAGGAGGACATCTTCATTGACTTGCGTTTTGAACCTGAAAATGTATTGTATAATCAGTGTATAATGTATTCAGCGCGCTAACATCTTTTGGGCGCGGACTTGCCAGTCAATCCATGCACACTTACCCTGATCCCCTCGTGATGTCGATTGCACTTTACGCTCTGCCAGCCGGAAAATTCTGCCAAACAACAGTTTTGTAGTAGCCAGCAAACCGCCACAAATATGCAGACACTAAACACGCGAAAGCGGAGGTTCGTGACACGCTGAATAAATTACATACACGCCGTATCTTGGAACCATGACTTTAGACCGGTCAGCTTGAGGCGTCGTCTATATTGACCATGACAATATCATCATCCCCCTCGCGTTCTTGCGAACATAGATCCTCTAACAACTCCTTACTCTCTTCCACCAACCTCCTCAGGATCTGAGATCTGTGGTTCACCGGAATACTGTCGTATTCCTCCCCTTCTCTCCCGGTGGGAAACGGAACTAGCAGACCATAGCCCATGTACTGCTGCACCATGCGTACCCGCAAGTACGTCTCCTTCACCAAAGATGGCAGCTTCATAACTCCAGCATTCGAGAGCAATCGAGAGGGATTCGGGTCGGGACCTCCGGACTCGTGGGCAAAGGAACGTTCCAAATTAATCGCGATCGAGCGACGAACGGGACCCAGGTGCACGATCTTCAGACTGGAAGACCCACGGCTCTCAGCCGAAGGACTACTTGAGAGACGATAGCCAGGCTTTCGTTCCCTCGTAGGCATTGTCAAGGAGTCCCCGCTTGGTAGCGACGTAGGTCCCAGTCTCGGGGACGCTTCTGGAGAAGAAGTGGCTGAATGAATGGAGCTAAAAACGCGTCCGCGAGGTTTGATGAACACGGAGGAACGTCGATGATCGCTCGTACTCGACCAGCCAGAGTGGCTAGTATCCTCTTCTGAACGTAGACTCTGATCCAGTGCATACATCTTCTCGTGCACAAAGAGTCTTAACTGTAGAAGGAGAGGACCACGTTGAAGGTGTAGCCACCAAAGGAATGACCATAGAAGGTAGTCCACGAGTCGGGGTGGCCTCAGGATCCGGGAGGACCCAGAACCTTGCCTGTAAAGTCCTGAAGACGACCCGAAAGGATCCACTGAAGGAGAGGACAGAAACGAACTCGACAGGGGCGATTGTGATGGACTGGGGGTTAAATTTTCATCAGTGGGAGTCACAGCAAACCTTGCATCCCCCTCTGAAAGCAGCGTCCTCACAGTAGTCGCAATTCGTAGCCAGATACCTGGAATAGATGCGGATAGCTCGTTTTCCACCCTTGAGATGATGACCTTTAACGTCTGCAGAGCCAAAGCAAGAATCGCTGGACGACTGGGGTCCGAATGTCGACGGCCGTCTTGGGATTTTGATCGTTCCGGTCCATTCATAGATGAGGATCTCCGCAATTCAGATATTTTATGGGTGCCATCACATATCGATAATATGTATGACAACAAGCGTATCCACGCGGTTGTCTGGCTTCGATGTTGCCATGCATCATCGGGAGTCCCAGTGGGCGTGACCTTTACGTCCGTGCCGATTGATAAAGTCAAAGGCAGGACAATCCCCGCCAGAAAGCCCGGTGTCGCCCTGCATTGGACGACTTCTGCCACAGCATCGAATTTCGCGAGCGAGACGGAGCGAGTAAGAAGTAGGACGACGCGAGAGCGAAGGGAGAGTTCAAGTATGGAGTTCTCTTCCGCGGCCCCTTCACAAAGTCGAAGGACCGCCGTGCAATATTCTCTCACTACACGAGGAAATAGGGCGTCTTGAACCAATTCCTTGTCTCGCACAAGTTCACACAGAACATCCAATAGGCCCGAGCAGTCAATGGCGCGAGCGTTATCTCGAACGAACGGTAGGAGGCCTATCAAAAACGAGGTGATTTCTTTGGCGCTCACAGCCTGAGGAGTTGGCCGCAGCAGCACAGAGTTCGCATAGTCTTTCAGGAATATCGCGACTTGTCCGTTGACATCTCTGCCAGAATCCTTGACTATTGCTCCAAGCAGTTCAGCAACGCGTAGATGCGCCGCGGAACTAAGTTTACCCCCTACTTTAGTCAGGGCGACGACCAACGACAGATACTCGAGTCTCATGGCTTGGAGATTGCTAGGCGATGTCGATTTGGACATCAAATGATTCTCAAAATGAGAGTCATGAGAATACACCTCGACACTGCCAGGAAGAGAGGGATTTAGGAGTGTGGCGTCAGGAATCTTCGCCTTTCCCGGAGCTCGAGTCAAGAGTATAGCGCCGATGTGTTCTGTTCCATCTCGAAGGGCCGTGCGAGCCGAATTAGAGCCATGATAGAGGGACGGAGTCAGCAGGCATAAGAAGTGCAGGAATAACTCGGCTCGTAGCAGCGTCGCGTCTTGTTCTGCAATGAAGTTGATGAAGAACAACGCGAAATCGCGCAATTCGAAACGTTTCCCTTCATATTCCTCGGGCAAGTCGATAGTTATTGCTTCGCCTGTGGGGCCAGCGGCCCGTCGAAGCGAAGCTAAGAAAGTTTGTGGCTTCTCTTCAGCCGTGTTCACTATCAGAGCTTCTCTCTCCTGCTTCCTGCTAACCTTATGCAGACCGATTGATTCAGGGTCGGTGGGCAGGACGCCACTCTTCAACGTGGCAAACAGAGAATAGATGCCCTTGGCCACCCACTGTGCGTCGATGCCAGGGCAAGCGATGATGTGGGCGAGAATACTCATACTCTGGAATATGAAGGCGTATCCGTGTAACGCGTAGAAGCGATTGACAGCGTATTCAATGGACCCTCGGATACCGGAGTGATTCTCAGATTCGGTGTATACCTTGACGACAACTGGCATAAATAGGGTATATCCGCTTCCTGATTGGAACAAGCGCTGGAATCGAGTAGTAGCAGTCAAGAGGGCTTAGAGCAGGTAAGTCGATTAAGCGGGCAATAACTGGGGAACTCTCACCTATCATGGCCTGGCTGACTATTCCTACGTCGTTGCCGTGCGCCAGCAGAATACGATTCAGACCATCTAGGTATACCGATAGTTCGTTTCGATCATTCAAGTGCCGTGACATCGAGGAAAATATTTGCCTGACAAGTAAGAGATAACTGCGAGACAGTATCAAAGATAATCCGATGAGGGCTGCATTAAGATCAGTGAATGAAATAGGCGAGGAGCGGTAGCCGTCTGGTTTGCGAGGAACTAGATCCATGAGTTCCAGTTTTGGGGAATCCACACTACCATCTCGCGACGGCAGGACCAGTCGCGCTAACCGCTTCCGTACAATTTGGACATCTTGAGGATTCTGCTTCAACATATCAAGGAATAGTAGGTTCTGAGATATGCGGATCATCGTCATCCAGACCAGATCAGGAGGAAGAGAGTGGAAGGGATTGCTAGTTTTCGAAAGTTGCCTAGGGAACATAGGGCCGTCTGGAGATGTCGAAGGAAACCATAAGGCTCCGGAAGGAATCAGGAAGATCTCTACCTTAGCTCGACGTATCTCCCGAATAGATATTTCGCTAACTTGTGAGGCCAGTTTCGACATGATAGGGAGGACCTGAGCAAAAGCCAGTAGAGGTCTGCTATCTTCTTCGAGCCGAGAACAGTACTTTAAGAACCCAGCCAGATGGTTGAAAACATGGTGAGTTAAGGACGGCGGGAGGTCTTTCCGCACGTGAGCGAAAGTGCGCAGTGTCCGCACTGCCCGAGCGAGATCCCGCTCATCTCCTGCCAGCGAGTCGAAAACAGGTCGACAAAGCAGAGCGGGATCATCTCTCATAAGATCAGCAATAAATGTCCGTGCCATGCTCGACACGGTAATGTCGGGATCGAATGTCAGGAGAGCCACATCAGGGAAGACAGAAACTAGAGCATGGACGAAGACAGGTCGCCGTTTAACGTTCCGCGCACTGTTAGGCCTCTTACCAAGCCGCTCGTCGCTTCTAGACGGGGACAGCTTCTTGGGTGATGCCTCGGGCGTAACGTTAGGAGAAGACGGTGCGGAGATTAGCGACTCAGAAGTCGAAACGGACTGATCCATGTAGCTGTTCGGCAGGACAGATATGGGCGTCTTCTTCAACAACATCTTCTCATCCACAGGTTTTTCGTCTTGAGACCAGCCAATCTCTGCAAGTCGCTTCCTCAGTTCTGCTGGTAAGACATTCCCCTGGCTATCGATGTACTCCGTGGAATCTTCATTGTGCACGAAGAGGCTTGTGCCCATGTCGGTAGCAACGAAAAGCAGAGGCGGCCTGGTCAGTTTGAATGCGCGACGGTGATTCGTATCAAGGATATGGTCCTGCGTAAGCAACTGGAACCGCCAACTGGCCAAATTGCTAAGCTTGCGGACGGCGGAAGCTTTCTTCGAAGCGTCAGTACTTACGTTGCGTCAGGTGGGTTAGTAGAACATGAGGCACGTACACGCGACATACCTATGCAGATCATCTCGGACTAAAGAGAGGAAGTTATCTTCTAGCTTCTCTGCGCATTGCATGGCTAAAAAGCAAGCCTAACAGGCGAGTCAGCGGGCTGACAGAACCTGAAGTGGCGGATATCAACAAACCGGAGCGATGACCTTACTGTCACTATTATCGAGACAGCGCTTCCAGATCACTGCGCTCAGACGGCTGAAATCGTCAGTCCTCAGCAAACCTGATACCGCGACCAACAGTCTCAAAGTCGACGACTCCGCGCTATTTGACAGGATAACTTCCAAATTCTCGATGCTTTTATTCGGCCCCGATCGTATGCCAGATTCTTCGCCAGGCGTATTCGTCCAGTCGAAACTGGGGGATAGGACGAGCGCACTCCGACGCTGCAATGCGGCAGTTAGGTCGATTAGAAGTAGGCCAGGATAATGCTCACCTTATGGTTCATGGTAGAATCATTGTTCAGCCCGTGATACAGATCTTGAACACGCTTAACCGTATCGTCGAATTCGGCTTGGCTTCGCTCGGAGTCCGATTTGAGTTCGTCTTCGCCGTACATCTCCAACGCCCAAGACATAACGCGAGGCAACCAAGCCGCGCTATAATCTCCAGTCACTCTCTATATCATCAAGCCAGAGACATGACCCCATACTTTCTGAGAGACCGCACAAACAGCCGCATTTCCAGAAACAGAGCACAGAGAACCATCCTATGAAATCGAGATAGCTTCGATTTCCGTTCCTGCAGGTGTCTGTGAGTGATGGCGAGACACTTAGCATAAAGTATGTTCACCTTGGCTTCCAGTAAGACACCTAGTTGTGCATCAAGACCAAAGATGAACTTTGGGAGAGTCGAGTAGCTAGGGTCAATGCTCTGAACCCTCAGACGAAATCAGTGGCTGCTCGGACCCAGAACGATCATTTAGACGCACAGATATCTGGTCTCGGTTGTGCGACGCATGTCGAATCGAGGATATGAGCTCCAGCAAAATGACCAACTGTCCTAGGCGAGAGGTCGGTTTCGGGGCGGCAACCGCCGACTTTCCTCCCGGGTCGGACAAGAGAGCCACAGACATCATTTCCGAGTCTCGAGTGAAGAAGTCGGCAACAAAGCCCGTCAAGGCAGTGCATATACGTAACTGTTTGATGACGGTCGTGTCCTTGGACGACGCCGCGCAAAGGATGACTGGCTTGAAGAACAACTGCGGGTACGCGCGCGATATGTCGTTCAGGACTTGCGTCAACTGTTCGTCAGTGAGTGGCGTTGCTTCAGCCGCTAGAGCCTATGGAAGTCTCATGTGTCAGATATCCCCGCACGATCCTAGCTGGGAATTACGCACATCATATGTGCAGGGGAGGCAGAAGGCCATAAGTGGCTTTCGGGTCTCCTCCGGTAGCACCCTCATGAACGCATCTAAGGTCCTCGCTATCACAGGCCAATTCCGATAATCGAGCTATATATGCGTTAAAATAGATAATTGCGTCGCATAAGCTCCTTACCAGGTCTGTAACAGCGGCTTCAACTGCAGGCTTCCATATGGATCCAGGTACATACCACTCGCACATGTAATCCTTGGCCTGCGACCGCGATGACTCTATCAAGAGCAAACGAAGAATCAACTTCGACACAGTAGCTCGGGCTGACTGCGCGTCCTGGTCCTGCATAATATCCACCTGCGGGAGTATCCGTGACTGTACCAGGCGAACGATAATTCCTGCATCGATACGTAAAGTGTCGGGGGCTGCGAGTGTGGAGGATGGAGAAAGGAAGACTATGGCTGCGTGAACAAATAAGTCGATGTTCCGCGCCTGGAGTTTACTGAGCAATGGAGTTGTATGGGAAGACACTAAGGGAGACGGCCAGTAATCCTGCAAGAGCTGAGCTTATAAACGTTTTTCTAACTGACGAGGTTGCGATACCTCAGTAGTATTCCATAGTAGCCACCTGCGGCTAGCTTCCGCGCCGTTTTCAAAACACCGGATAAGAGCATTTGAAAACATGGCCTCCCTAACTATACTCTCGTCCTCTCCCTTGACAGATATGGCTCCATACTCTTCTTCCAGAGCCTGCACGGAAATTCTACAGCAAGATCCTTCCTGGATTTTGGACAAAACTTGTCTGAGAATCTTACTCTCCGCTGCAGTCGCGGACTCGAGGCCATAAAGGGACAGAAGAGAGAACAAGTTGTGCAACAGCGTCTGAACCGTGACAGGATCCTCCCAAGTCATGGGCTGAGCCTCGACAAGGAGGCGGTTGAGGATACTTAAGATCCGAACACGAAGTCGCGAGGGCGGGACGGTAGCCGCCTTCACGCACCACAGAGAGCGTTCAAGCGCAGACTAGTTCACCGGTTACTAAAGATGGTTTCCCATATAGCTGTATACCACATACCTTCGCGGATGTCGCGTGCCATGCCTTGATGATCATATCAAATACGTCGGCAGAGCTTACGCGCTCTTGCTCCGCATTTTGACCGTGGTCCGCACTCAGAAACGGTATAAGCAAGGCAGATAGAACTTCGCTTTCGAGGGGTAGCACATGAGTTCCAGCATTCTCCGAAGGAGCGTGCCGAATGAGCAGAGACCGCAAATCGTTCAGTGAAGGAGCCGTAGCCAGCGAAGCTAGTGACTGGATAGACTGCGGTCGTCGCAATCCATGCTTTACACCCTGAGCTAAAGGCAAGGACGAAGTACTAGAACTCGGCGAGAAGGGCAAAGATGTCGCGGACATAAAGGGCTTGTACATGTTGTGAGGCGCAGCGTTGGCTTGCAATGCATCTCGCTCTGCTTTGTAGATTTTGGCATATTCTACGGAACGAGCTGCGCCGCAAGCTTTCCTGAGCTCCTCTTCGAACCTTCTCGCGTCGTCTGCAGCGACTTGCCGTACGCGATCGACGGTATGGCCCCAGCCCAGGCGCGGGAATCGCGAAGCTTTGGGTGTGGTGGATGCTACAGTTTGTGCAAGCGAGGAGGAGGACTGCTGGTGGCGTATAGATGCAGACGGGACTAACTGCTGGCGAACGTGGTCCCATCGTCTCCGGGATGGGGATGGAGGTGGCCCCTCTGCGTCTGATACAGATGGCTGGCTGTCAACACTGACATTGCCCGGTTTGTGAACTCGAAATCTCGGTATCGACTTCTTCTTGAGGTTGGGTATGGATTCACTTGACGCGAAGGGATTTTCAGTTTCTTCGCGAGGAGTACTCACGGGAGACTCGACTAAGGCTTTCTCCGACCAGTTTGGCAGGGATCCATCTGAGAAAGGGTCCGTGTTATTCCCTTCATCCACGGAATACAAGGTCGGTACATTAGAAACACCTCTGGCATGCGCGCCGCTGGTGGTTGTACCGTCCGATGCATGACTTGTGTCAGATTCCTGCCGTTTATGCGAGTCAAATGAGAAGAGTTTCCGATGGAACGTTCGGCCGCCAGAGCCTTTCTTCTTGTGGGCATTATCCTTCGAATCCATAACTCAACGAACGCATTTCCAGCCCTTTCCAGCGTCGAGAAACAGTCCAAGATGTGCTCGTTCACGATATGCCGTCGGCGTATCGGTAAGCAGGTAACTTTAAGCGCTATAACAGCGTGGGACCTAACCACCATTTATGGGAGACTGTGATACGGTATATTGCCATTGAAGCTTAATATTGAAGTCGCAAGTTGGCTCTTCTACGCTGTCCTTCTGCTCGTCGTTCGAAGCGACGTTGACGGCTTACCGCTACTAGATTCATTCTCCAGTACAGCCCTGGGAGGCTGGATGCTATGCCGGAAAACCAGCAGGAACAAGGCAAGGAAGTTCAAAAGCCTGTGCAGGACGAGGCACCTGCTATAGAGACCCCGCCCGCCATCGACAGGAGACCGTCAACCCAAGAGAGCGTCACAAGCGAAAATGAAGTCTTTTCGGACGCCGTGGAACTCGGGTCTAGCAGTAACAAGGATGCAGACACTGAAACAGCCGGTTCGGACAGGGAAGGGGCTAGCCATGCAGCGCATGGTCTGAACGGATCCGGTGTGTAATATACGCCTCGTGCACTCTTGTCGAGGCTGAAGCATAATAGGCCACGGCCCTCAGATTACTGTCGAACAGCCAGCTGGCAAGGTAGAATTGACAGACTCCCATGATACGCTGGACCCACCTCGACGACTTAACGGCGTCAGTAAATCTCGAAGGTCGTCTGACGTCGACCCCGAGGCTCAAGCTATGGTTATCGCATCTCTTCGTTCACAAGTGCAGGATCTCTTCTCCCAAGTAACACAGCTAAATAACAAGCTAGTCCAATCTTACGACCGCGTTTCGGATCTGGAAGATGACCTCCATGTGGCCAACTCAAAACTCCGAGCCTCGTCTCTCAAGATCTCTCAGCTGGAGCTCGAGCGGACGCAGCACCTTGCCGCACTAAACACTGGTTTGTTGGTTGAGAGAACGCATGTCACTGCGGAGCTTACGAGGCTGATGGAGAAGGCGACCGAAGAAGCAGCCAGCCGCGGAAAGGCGGAGAGTGCGCGCGCGGAGATAGAGAAAGACTTGGATGATCTAAGTGCGAGTTTGTTCGACCAAGCTAATACTATGGTGGCGGAGGCACGCTTAGCGCGAGCAATCAGCGAACGCAAGGTGGAAGAAGCCGAGCAGGCCCTGAAGGGCGCGGAAGAAGCTGTCAATGTGATGCAGCAGCAGATGCAAGCCATGCAGCAAGAGAAGGAGCGCGCCCTGGCGCAGATGGAGGAAATGAAGTATGTCATGGGCAAAGGGAAATGGGTCGAACGGGATCAGTACCCTTCGACTTCCAGCCCGCTGCTAAGGCTCCTGAGCTCCCATACTCCGTATCAAGAGTTCCTCCTTTTCGTTGCTCATCTACGAAATCTTCGCCCCGCTTCTCCGAGTCCCCCGGCAATGTCATCATTGCTGCCCTTGCCATTTGTTGCGAGACTGGTAATCGAGGACACGTTCGTACATGTAACAGCCTACCTTGCCCGTTCTAATTCCTTTTTCATAATGCAGAGACCCTACACTTCGCTTCGACATAGCGCCGTCATTAAACTGGCTCTCTCGTCGGTCCGTTCTGTCAGCCATCCATAACGGTCAATTGTCGATTGAGCCCATGTCCACATCGACGCTTATACAAGAAGCATCCTTCCCGTCGCCCGGCCTCCCGGGCACCTCGAGCAACTCAGGAATTTCTTGCGCACTTTGCGGGACGTGCATCGTCCCTGCGCACGGGGACATGTCCTACCTCCATTCGAAACCCCCTCAACATCCCAGATCATCCTTATCCGTTTCCAGGAACAACACAGGCCAGTCGAACTCGTCTTGGTCGTCGTTCCTCCCAAAGAACCCGTTGATATCCGCTACCGCCTCTGTGCCCTCTACTCCTGCTCCCCGGGACTGCTCGATGTCAGGCCTAGATATCCGCTCGAATTCTCAACCACATCTTCCATTACCTCCGCCCGCTCAGATATACGTCTTCCGCCTGTCAGTCCCCAACAATACCACCAATGCCTCCCAGACGTCGCTTACTATTGCAGCGAGGTCAGGTAACCCCACCGTCTATCCGCTTTGTCGGTCAAGCTGGTGCCTCGCCCGGCTCCGGACGACCTGTTCTCTTTGGGCGTTTGTAAAGTCTGGAGTTGTCGACAAGGTATGGGAAGAGGAGCTGCCCTCGGCCGGTCCGCCACATGGAGAAGGTTGGGAGATCGTCGGTGGGGAGAAGAACGGCGATGGTAAGACTCTTGAGAAGCCCCCGGTCCCACCACGCAGAAAGGGGTTGTGGGAGAGGGCATCTTCCATGGCATCCTCGGCTTTGGGGACTAATAACTCGAAGGAGAAATCCTTGCCCGCAACGCCTCACCCCGAACGTGTACCATCGACTCCGGCGAATACACCCCGACCGCCATTGCCGGCACGGTCCAAGTCTAGACTCCTTTCCAGCTCCACGCAGGAGGTCAAGGCAGCGCCTGCACTGGGCGAAAGTGCTGTCGTCAATGGCGGCCTTACGGGCGAGCCTCAGTCGTCGATTTCCGATAAAGCATCCGCAGATGTCCTGCAAGCGTCACTATCTCAGAAAGTGGATGGTACAGCAGAAACTTCAGGTAGTCAAGTCGATCTTGCGGCTGCGAGTGCCTCGGCGGCACCACTGTCAGACTCTGTGAAGGCAGATGAAGCTGTTCCGATGGACCCTTCAGCCGCAGTGGAGGAAGCGCGAGCAAGTTCGCCTGCGACCGAACCTGCTCCCGCTGTCGAGCCGTCACAACCAAAACAGCCGACGAAATGTTCCACTGAACCTTCGCGACAGCCCCCCGCGGAGGACGCAAAGGAATCCGAGGCATTTCCCCCTCCGCCTGTACTGAGCAATATTCAGGACGCCGTGAAGCCCCCGTCACGCACTGGTTCACCCGCGCCGCCACCTCTCCCTCGCCGTGCTGCGGCTCGAGCAAGACCGTTGTCCGTCGTTGCGCCCCCTCCAGCCACGACTGAAGGAGCTTCTCCCGCAAGTGCTCATCCAGAGAAGCAGGAACCGTTGTCCGATGCGGCACAGCAACTTGCGATGGACGGAGATGCTGCCCCGTCTGCCGCACCAGCTCTTGTGGAGGAGCAAGAACAGTTCAAGGCGGAGCAGCCGGAACCCATGGCTTCGTCTAAGTCGCCTATCTCTGCTCCTCCAGAGGCGGAATCTTTGGCGCCAGACGAGACGAAGGACCCTGCGGATCCCCCTGGACCCCAGTCATCTCAGGAAGCTGCCCCCGATGTCGACAATCGCGTTGAGGCTCCAAAATCTGACCATGAGCCCGACCACGAGGGTAGCCCGATGCATGTTTCCGTCATCGCCGATCAGCGGGATATTGAGAAGACTGAAATGAAAGAAGAGCAGCCGGAGCAGAACGTGAACGAGGAGACAGGGCTCTTCGTCGGCGATGCAACATGGGAGGAGCGCACCTGGAAGGAAATCGTGAGGCTGAAGGAGGATATGTTCTGGGCGCGCATCGGGTGCGTTCGGTGATCGGACATTCGCAATTGCATTATATACCCCATCTAAGATACATGTACCTGGACCTTGAGCTATCGATTGTTTTGCACTCACACATACTGTATTACCATATTCTAGATGAAGAACCATGAATATTTATCACGTGTTTATATGTATTGTAGGGCAACTTGACAGATAGTGGTTTCAGGAGCAGGATGGGCAAGACCACCGCTCAGGAAGCGGAGTGGTCAACTCGATGCATGGCAAATGGAACTGTGGCAGAGTCAGTGATTTGCTACAGGATGTACAGGGTAGACAGGACATCACTCACCCAGCGACGTTGACAGAAGGGACCCTCACAGGCAATCATCTTAAGAGCCAGGTATGAGACCTGGATTCAATCGAGAATCCACAACAGCAGGCTCGCACCTGCCCAAATGCATTTCTACCACAAATGCAATACCTATTTGAGCTGAGGTCGTCAAGGATGGGTGCACCGGTTCGACCATCCACTGCCGGTTCTGAAAGCATGCTGTGTGATGGGTCCTGCTCCAGCATCCCAGAGGCTAATATGACATCCTTGATGGCTTCGACAGCGGTCATATCCTGGTCGAAGGTGGAGTCTGATTCCATGACACTGCTGGTGGAGCTATCTGGCTGGAGGATGGGGTTCGGGGAAACCGTAGGAGCAGTGCCGCTGCCAGTGGCAAAGGAACTTAACCATAAATCAGAGAATGCAACATCCGAGGATGTGCACCGTTGCATGTCCATTCCAAGTAAGGACCGTTGCGTGGTGGGTCCACAATTGTTCTCTGTATTGCGATCAGAATGTGCATGATCATCCTCGTCCTCATCTCGGACAGCGCGGATAATGGTCCGCTTCGGCTTGCTCGCGACCGTCTTGATTTCGCGGGGGTTGTCGGGTAACTTCAGGATGACTCTCTTGGGGGTGTTTGTCGGACACCCTTGGATGATCTTGTGAGGTCTGAAAGTACACAAGAGATAACATGGGACTTACCAATGTGGGCTCGGGGTACCTGATCCTCTGACTCACTATCACTCTGCGAAAACTTAGGCTTCTTGACAGTCTTTTTGAGAGTCGCGATATTGGGCTTCTTAATCGTCGGCATCCCCCGCACTGTAACAGCGGAGGTGGAGGCGGAGGCAGAGGCGGACGCGGACGCGGAGGTGGACCGAGGTGCTACTTTCACCTTCGGAGTATTCAACGCCTTCTCCAGCTCCATGATTTTCTTCTCTTTCTCATCATACCGTTCCTTCAGCTGTTTGTATGCGGCCTCATTCTGCCGGAATCGATCACGGAGCTTGTCGTGGGCTCGACTCAGTCTTTCAATCTCGTCTTGTTGTTCATGAGTTGTGCGTGCGGCTCTGCAGAGAACATCCTGCAGTGTTGTCACAACGTCCTCGCCGTCATCAACCTCAATTCCCGCGGACGTGGCAGTATCACGTCTGACGTTCCCGGGAGAGGCGTACTCTGTTTCACAGGTGCTATGAGTGTATGAATGATCACGAATGAAGCACTTACGTGAAAGGATGCCTCGTAAGCGCCCTAGGATATCTTGTGCAGCTATTCTGAGTTTCTGCTCTTCTTGAAGTCGTTGTAGCAAGCCCTCGGCTTGTCTTGCCGCATGTTCGAGGGTGAGCTGAGAGTGCCCAGCTTCATATATCGGCGTCGCTGCCTCAGTCGGCCCCGAAAGTCTCAAGAACCGTTCAGTTGCATGCTCGGTCGCCTTACGGTGCTCCGAGTACTCTAGAAACAGTGCATCGTATTTCTTCTGAGCTTCAGTGAGAGTCTGCGCCTTTTCTCTTTCCATGAGGTCAATTAGGGTTGCTATTGCACGCTGTATCGACGGGCTCGCGCGGATGTCGATGCCAGGACTGGTGGTACATGACGAAAGTTCAGCGTCAGAGGACATAGAGCAGAAACAGGTCAGATTAAAGTACGAGGACAGGGTGAGCGCAAAGCATATACTGCCACCCGCCCCGACGAGAAGTCGACGGCCGTGACGTCCTCATTACGAGAGATGATCGTTCGGACGGTGAAATCGTATCCAGATACAGTCGCCGAGTTAGACGCCGTCAATATTGTTTCACGTTATGCACCTTCTTCGCCGCTTCCCAACCTGGGGTCAGAATCGCGGCATGAGTTCGGGGAACACGGCGGGCGAAGTGCTTCGTCTACTATAATGTCTTCCTGAAGTGATGAGGCCGCCCTATTGGTTGCCTATTAGCCTATAAGTGCTAACCCTAACCACGGCCGTCACAGACGATGCCGACAGCGGGCTGCGCGCCGGGCTCAGCTCTTGCTCTCAAGCCTGTAGGACAAGCAACATCCTCCGTTCGATCCGATATACCTCGCTTGGACATTGTCGACTTGCAGCGGGAGGTCTGGGTTCAAGTCTCTCTAAAAGGTGGCAATGTATGCCCATTCGGCTCGCATTCCGCAGCCGCCACACAGTGCTGGACAACCTTTCAAGGGTGAGGACTACTTTGCACCGCAGGTCGCCAGTTATCTGACAGGAGACACCAGGTCTGCGCACTGCGATTGACCCGAGTCAGATACCTTCACCTATTGAGAGTATCGAGGCCGACCAGGAGAAATGGGAAACAGAAAGATACATGACGCTGCCGGGGAATCATGTGCCTCTGTCTACGTCTGACTACATCGCCATAGACCAGGGTACGGGTATTCGACGCTGCTGAAAAATGCGATAGTAACCGTTTCTCATTCCAGGCAACTCCTCTCCCAAGTTCATTCGCGTATCGACATGGAACGTCCCGAGCACCTCAGCGCTCGTGAACCAATGTGAGGTCCCACTAGCCGCCGTCGTACACCCTTTCGCAGAGTTGGATTCCACTGGGGGGGAGGAGGACATACCGGTGGTGGATACGGGTGCGTCGGGGCCTGCGAGATGCTCGGGATGCAGGGGATACGTGAACCCGTGGTGTCAATGGGTAGCGGGAGGAACGAGATGGAAGTGCAATCTTTGTTCGCATGAGACCCCAGGTGCGCTTTCACAGATACTCTCCGTTTTTGATGTGCCAATATAGCCGCAGTCGAATCGGAATATTTCTCCAACCTAGACGCTAATGGCCTTCGACTCGACCACCTCAACCGCCCCGAACTCACCAAAGGGACAGTCGACTTTATCGTTCCCGAGCACTACTGGGCTACCAACCCACCGCCGCGAATAGTGCCACCGTACTTATCTGTCGAACCACCACCGGCGCCCTCCAGTACGCGACCACCGCGGCCGATGAAAACTGTCTTTGCGTTTGACGTCTCGGCCGATGCTGCGCAGTCCGGCTTTCTGGAGAGTGCGTGCCGGACTGTGAAGGCGGCGTTATACGAGGAAGAGGGACGGGTGCATGGGGGAGTTGCGATTGTGTCGTTTGATACGGCACTGCATTTCTACAACTTGTCCGTAAGTCGTGCATATCATTCCGCCTTTCCCTGGTCTGATGAGAGCACAGCCCGATCTCGACCAAGGGCATATGCTCGTCATGCCGGATCTCGAAGAGGTATTCCTGCCCATACGAGAAGGCGTGTTTGCGGATGCGGTAGAGTCCCGGTAAGACATCATCGTTATAGATATCCAGCCCTTTGTGACACATGACACCAGCAATGTCATCGAGAATCTTCTTGACGCTCTGCCGAGCCGCTTCCAAGAAGCACCGATGACAGTGTCAGGACTTGGATCCGCAATACGAGGCTGTCTCGCCGCTCTTGTATGCATCCCTCCCCTGAACTTGGTTGCGGCTTGAGATTCCTAATCTCTCGCAGGCAGGAACGGGTGGACAAGTGATTATATTCCAAGCCACCCTCCCCAGCGTCGGCGCAGGCGCACTCCAGCCCCGCCTGGACGAGTCTACCCTGTACGACACACCGAAGGAACCGACACTCTTCGCGCCACGCGACATGGCGTGGAAGGACATCGGCGAGGAGTGCGCGGAGGAAGGCGTCGGCGTCACGATGTTCCTGGGCATGAGTAAGTTCGTGGACGTCGGGTCGATCGGTACGTTGCGCGATATCTCCGCGGGCGCGAGCAGCTGAATGGGCGGAAGGTTAGGTCTGGTCTCGTCGATTACTGGAGGGCAAATCTTCTTCCATCCGAGATTCGAGAGCGCCCGGGATGAGTTCAGTATGGCGCTGCAGCTGCGCAGGGTTCTCAGGAGGAAGACTGTGTATCACTGCGCCATGCGGGTGCGGACCTCGAATGGTTGCTACCTTCCCTCTCTCCCATTGGTTTCGCTGACGGAGTGACCAACGCTACGACAACTAGGCTTGCGGATAACAGCCCACTATGGTAACTTCAACGAACGCATGCCAGGGGAACTCGACTTCGGTGTTCTGGACGCGGACAAGGCGATCTCCGTAGCGTTCGAGCACACAAAGACACTCGACGACCGCGGGTATGCCTACCTGCAGTGCGCGGTCCTGCACACCACGAAGGAGGGACAACGGAGGGTCCGTACCATTAATTTGGCCTTACAAGTCGCTTCACTGGCGGGCACGGTGTTCAGATATGCTGATATGGATACAGTCGTGTCGCACTATGCGAGGGAAGGTAGGGCGTCGGTGTGTTCTGTTTTTTGTAGACTGATGACATGCTTGTGGGATGGTAAGCGGTATCACAGCTGGCCACGAAGAGAATCTCCCAACTCAGGGATATCTTGACGGAGAAATGCGCATCTCTTCTCCTTGGTTACCGGCGGAATTGTGCAGCCTCGTCTGCTCCTACGCAGGTAATTTACGCTATCTGCACCTTGAGATTGGCTGATCGGAATGTTCCTTAGCTCATATTACCGGAAGCGTTTAAGACGTTGCCCGTGTACACCCTGGCCATCCTGAAGAGTAAGTCTTTGAAAGGTACGCACGCACCTGATATTGACGGTCGGACACTGTGCGTTAACACGATACGTATGTCAGCGCGCAATGTCACGTCTGACGTGCGAAACTACCACGCACATCGTGTTCTGTCTATGGGCGTACGGTCGCTCATGCATCACCTCTACCCGCGCATGTTGGCGATTCACGACTTGGACGACACTATCGCACTGCCTGATGCGAATGGGCGTATCTCCTGGCCTTCGCATATGCGTGATAGCTATGTATACATGGAAGCGCATGGTATTTATCTCATAGGTTCGTCTACGTCCGCTGCCGAGACGCCTCACATCTGTCTGATCCTGTGTTGGCCGCCAGATAACGAGGAGATGATGGTCCTGTGGGTAGGACAAAGTGTGGCCCCGCAGCTCTTGCAAGACTTATTCGGCGTCGACGATATTTTCAGCATCGACCCTCATCTTGTTAGTTCCTCAGTTTAAGGGTTTCCTGCTCCCATTCTGAACGGAGTGCATGCCTAGATAACCTTACCAATCTTGGATTCAAGACTCTCCAGTCAAGTTAGGAATATAATAACTCATCGACAGCTGCAAAGAGGTTATACGCCGAAACTGCTCGTTGCGCGGCAGAATATCGATGCGGCAGAAATTGAGTTCGCGGACATGCTAGTGGAGGACCAGAATAATGCAGCAATGTCGTACCTCGATTGTACGTGCCGTTTCAGTAGTGCTCTCATCTGTCGTCTTACAATTTGCGCGATAGATCTCTGTGTGGTTCATAAACAAATCAATGCTGCAGTGAGTGCTCTCAGTCGGCAGATCTCCTGTGCGTGCTTGTACTCACGATGTCGCTGCAGCTTACTGGCGGAGGGACTATTGCCGGCCCTACTGGGTTCCGATCTTCGCCTTGGTGACAGGGGCACTAGTAGGATAAAGCAGAGACTTGGCTTCATCTGACTAATGACCTTGCCCGCCTGAAGTTGGAACTTGCTGCCGGACTAGTTTTGGCAATAGCAATAGAGGACGCTCTTCACGATCCCGGATGTGGGAGTATCTGGTGGTCTTCATCAGCGTTCGGTTTGCTAACGATGTGCGATCAATCGAGATTAGGAAAGTGTCCCCTCCTCCGGATTGTTATGCTCGTACATATGCTCTCAACCACCGTCGTCGAGTCTCATGTGACTATCATATAACCGACTGGCCTGACTTGTCTTCGTGTATGGGCATTCTGCACATGCACCAGAGCATCGAATTTATTATGACTTACTATTGCTGTAGTGGCCATGGTAAGGCGAGTATTGCAGAAGACATCGACACCCAGAACGAGCCCCCGCATTTTGTATTCTACGCTTCAGCTGAAGCGTGAAGCCTGTAGCTGATACCACTCAAAAGGTCATAAAGAGCTCGAAGACAGCAACCGCTCCTCAAGTTCTGGTGTTCGGGAACAAAGTCGTATAACAAGCATCACTATTCTGAACCGGCATCTATCCCTGAGCTGTGTCTAGTATAATGATATCTTAGCATGTCGAGTGTCTGGTAGGTGAACCACATGAACCTCATATAAACATAAGAGGCCGCGAGGGTAATACGTGTCTAATGCGGGTCCAGGAAGAAATATAAAGGAATGGATAGTCTGTCAAAAGACGTATACATATAAATTCGAGTCCAAAATCAATCAGGAGAATCGGAAAGGCGTCCCCGTCTGCAATTTCCGCGGCTTGCTAACGTGGGATCTACGGATGGTCCCCTCCTCGACATACCATATCTCCATTGCATTGAAACAGTCGTCGCAAGTGCGATGAATCTTCACGTTGCACAGCGTAGGGGATGAAGGTATTTCGTGTCTTGCGGAATTCTGCGAGCGATCCCATACTTGACGCGATTCAAGCATGGTCTCGATCGCATGGGTGGATACTGAGCTGCCACAAGGTCCAACGTTGAGCGTACGGAGCTTCGGAACAAGGCACGTCCAGCAGTTATCAGGGTTACTTTTGGCCGCGAGCGCGTCAAAAAGTTCGTCCGTAATGTAGGAGAAGAACAACTCGCTTCCGTCTCGGGCGGACAGAGAGAGGCAACGTAATTCAGGCATGAGTGGAAGGGTCTGAATCACGTCAGAGACATAGATAGACGACATATCCAGGTCCAGATCATATAGAACGCAGGAGGACCTTTCCACAAGTGCATGTAGGGCGGTGTTCTGAATTTGCGGGAATGGCCCGAATTCTCGAGGCCGTACGCATAATGACAGAAGTGAAGGCAGAGTGAGGCACTCCAAAAACAAGTCCGGGAAATTTGCTCGAATGGTAAGGACTTTCAGATTCGGAACCACGACGGCGGGACAATCCAGAACGCCATCGGCAGGCAGTAATACCAACTCGCACCACCGAAGTTGTGTGCATTCCTGTAGGATGTGGAGACATTGCCCAGGCGTGGCACCGCCCAGAACAGAGAGGCGAGTCAGGCGCTTCCAGGGAAATGGATCAGGATCGGAGGTAAAGTCGAAACCTATAGTGTGGAGATTAAACCTCGAGAGACGGGGCGCCGATTCAAAGACTTTGAGCTCGTTAGCGAGGGCATGGCCGGTATTCAGGACGGCAATGTCCAGGCTCTCTAGTGTGTTCAGGCTTCTTATTCCCTGAAGGTGTCTCAGTGCACCCAAAGAGCAGGTGCTACCAGCCAAGCATAGCTCTTTCCATCGTGGTGCGAACCGGATGATCACTTCGAGGCAGAGTGCGACGTCGCATTTGTTGGAAGAAGACAACAGCACGATAGTTAAAGGAAGGCCGCCGGAACGGGATAGCCAGGCAGCCAGAAGTTGGGAATAGTCGAAATCGGGCCGCTTGAGGTCCAAGCAGATGGAGCGCCAGAGATGAGGCGTTGAGTGTGCCACGGATCGCCATAAGCCACAAACTTTTGTCATGAGGAGTGGTGCTCTCGTGGCGCTCGGAACAATCTCCGGTGTGCATGGAAGACATTCCACGAATATGTGGGATAGCAGTTCGGCTGGCAAGACGCGTATTGGGGCGTCCTTGGATAACGGTCTTGATAAATCAGAAGTTCCTGCTACCTGGGAATTTAATCGTGAGCAGGTAGATGTTCTGCCGCGTTCTGCTCTGTCCATGACTGTCCTAAATGATAAATGTGAGTGTGCCAGTGGTATTCATGGAGTGGTAACGAACCTGCAAGGGATTAACGGTGAGTGCAAGCTGGCTTTGGGGAAATGGGGTAGGTCGAACGAACCAGCAAGAAGCGAGAACGCGACATACTATATACCCACACGGGAAGCCAGCGCTTTGACTCCCACCGCCACATGCGCCAGTGTGGCCAAAGCGTCCGAGCGAATCACCACTCGAACATGAGCACACGCATTACACTCAGGAACATTGACCTGATGTGTCGAGCGCTTGGACAGAGTATCTCCAAACTGCCTACTTAATTACCGTGGTACACAACAGTGCAGAGGGATGAATATTGCGGACGAGGACGCCACCATGAGCCCTTCCTGTCGTTTTCCATTGCCAATGCCAGTGTGGCACGGTTGCCATACTCGGGCGCCGGCTACAGTAGCGGATAACCCCGGCAAACGCTGATTAGTCATTCCGAAAGCGAAAGTGCCCCTAAACAAGTTAGAAACGCCTTCGCTGAGTTCAAAATCAGATTTTGGGAAGACTGGCAAGAGTCTGTACGATCGAGTTTCATGCTTCTCCTTTCAAGTCTGCCGCAATTTCTACCCTTTGTCGTGCCTAGTACAAGAAGCCCGTAGTACCCTTCCCACTTTACTCCCCTCCCCACTATCCCCATTCCATATTTACCATGGCTGCAGAGTTGACTGTCCGGACTACTGATACTCAAGCGAAATGCAAGACAATCGAGGGCACTGCTGATATCTTGCTGGCCCTGATCGAACGCGAGACCGAGAAAGCTGTCTGCCAGGCTCGCAAAGACTGTGAAGAGCTCGAGCAGCGCTTTGCCGCTTTCCGGACGGCGTCTGCGAACGACTTGCGAGTTGTGTCGCAGCAAGTCTCAGTATTGCAGGAGACTGTCCGAGAGATGCAGGGCAAGTTAGAAGCATCATCGCTGGAGGCGGGTGAGGCACGAGCAGAAGCGCGGAATATTAAAGAGGCTTACGACCGGCTGCGCGGCATCATCTTAGGTACGCAATGATACCCATTGCGAAGTGATTTTCGCTAAGAACCACCAGGCGCTGAATGTGTGCGTGAAATGAAAGAGCAGACTAGCAGCGAGGTATCAGGAGCATGCTCGGGCGACGCAGTGATCCTCGTCTCCACAATTCTGGAAAACTTTTCCAAGACGAAGGTGGCCTGGCGTGCAGCCGAGATGAGATGCGCCGAATTGGAGCAGACCTCACAACGAGCGGAGCAGGCAGAGAAGAAGCTAGCAAGACTCGAGCAGGCTCGTAAAAAGCTGCAAGAGACACTTTCACGTGGGTACTGCATTTCTTATAATATATTCAAAACAAGGCCTAAGAGCAGCACAGGATCCAGCGCCATACACGAGATTATCCAGGAGAAGGAGCTGGCCGTCCAAAAGGATGAGTTAGACACCGAGTTCGATGTCATCACCGCCATTCCAGCGCTGCTAGACCGCTTTCAGAGGAATAAAGAAGCGGTAGCGTCGTTACGAACTAGACTTGCGGAAGCCGAGAGCCACAAGGATGCGACGAAGAACACGCTGGAAGGCAGGATTACTGAGCTCAAGCGCATGAATGCGGCGCTGCGACGAGAGCTGCAGAGTTCCAAGGCCATGTCGCTTAAAGCTGCGGAGGGAGCGAAGGAGCCGGAACGAGTGAAGCCTCCCACCGCCAAGAAACCGGTAATCAACGACGGTGAGTGGCAGTTATTGGTATGGAGAGATCCACTCTGCTGAGAGCTTCCTGAAGACAACATGGACCTCAGCAGCCCGTCGTTGCCAAAGGCAAGACCATCCAAAAGACCCCCGGGTTCCGCCGAGGTATCAAGTAGGCCAAAGCTGAAGCGTGCCCGCACGACTGACGGGTCCGTTATCGTCAAAGCACATAAGAATTCGTCGAAGTGCTCACTATCATCTGACGAGGAGTCCGACGAAAAACTAGCGTCGAACTATATCCATTATCCTGCCGACAACTCCACGGAGACCCTGAAGTCGAAGGCCCGGGGACAAGATGAGGGTCTTCACCTCTCGACCAAGCCGCTGTCGAAGCCATGCTCCCCAGAGCTCCCAGCGGATCGACCGTCGGAACCCTGGAATACGAGGCCTGTACTCAAGGGCCTCAGCTTCCGGAAGTCCAAGGATCCGAGGGTGTCTCCTCAGATAGGAATGGGCAAGCAGGGTCAGAAGTGACCATGTCTAATCCAAAATCCACCTTCGATGGTATCCGCAGCTACCTCCGCTTCTGTCGATCTGGAGAAGCGTCACATTATCCAACCGAGTATGTGGATATTAATCTATACCATCGCTGGGTGCTTTCCGGGTTGCGCAAGGCTGAAGTGCCCCCTTCCTTCCCCGTTCACGATGTATTTTATCCCGGACCAGAGTCATAGTGTACAGTAATGTTATTTGCTATAATGGCTGTAGTGAGCTTAGTATGTTGTAGGATTAATGCCACTTACTGTTTTGTGTCCCCCCGGGCCTCCCTTACTATTAGGCCTTATTCCCGCTACCGTAGGTAGTGGGTCTTGGACCCCCCGGCCGTTCGCAGGTTTCCTGCGATCGTTTCAAGATCTACGCGATCTATTTGACACTATTTGGCTCTTAACCGCATATGGCGGACGGCAGGACCGGCACACGGCTTTGGACCAATCAAAGATGGGGTCCTCAAAGGACCCCGATTGTAGAACCACGTGGCATCTCTCTTTCCATCTTTAGCCAAGGTGGCGGATGCTGGTCAAGGGACTCAAGAGAACAGACATGACCTAGCTTGGGGCGTTGGAGATGCGGTCTCTAGGTGAAAGCAGCATACTTCAATGTCAGCTGTTTTACATAAATGACTTGTATACTCAGAACCTGAGGGAGGAGTGAGTGGACATCTCTTCAAATCATCATCAGGAACCTCGGATATCTCCATATGCTCCATATGGAGTCACACGGAGCCCCGGAGCGACGGAGAGGTCCCCCCATCATCCCGAGACGGCCATCTCCGTCCGGCTCAGGACGGAGACAGCGTCTCCAGATGGAGACTCCTGGAGACACCACATGGCTTCGGCGGGAGTGCGTATACCTGACACTCGATATCTATCCCTCACATAGGGACAGGATATGGGCTTATGTTTTTGCTATACGTGCTCCTCTTTGCATTCGAGCAAAATTTAGCACAGATCACTGTATATTAGTGGGGGGCGTGTCTCCGGATGGAGACCTCGTCTCCGTCTGGAGAACCTGTCTCCATCCCGCACATGACGGAGCCGCGGAGACGCTGTCTCCATCCGGAGATATTCCGGTTTCCTGATGATTGAGGTGAATGCTCAGTCGGAAATCATGGCTGGAACACAACTGCTTTCGCAAAATAAATATATTAGTATATGATGCTGCTCAGGATGTCAAGTTTTCAGCTTGCTACCAAATCTTATCTATGTCTACGGTAGCGGGCTCTGCCGCTCGCACGGCCCTACCGCCTTATAATATTAACTCGCACTTGCTTGAAGTTATACGAGCGCGACTCGCGATCGAAGCCACGTGTGGAGCATCTCAGATTCCTCTTTCAAGTTCGATCAGCGCTGGCGCCGCGGACTCTTCAAGTTGATTCCTGTGTTTGCCTCACGCCTTCATGATTGACTTTGTCGACCTTTTGGCCCTCGGGAATCGAGGTTGAAACGTCGACTGACGACAGCAGGATGTTCTGAACCCACGACTCAGGGCATTTACGCGGAGCCATGGCCGCAAACTCTAATCCATCCGTCCCTTCTGACTCGCGAGGCAAGAAACGCAGTTCCACGTCCATTCAACAAGGTGCGGACCTCCTCGCTGAGGTTATAGAGAGGGAGAAAGCCAAAGCGCTTGAAGAAGCTCGGAGGGAGTATGCGGAACTCGATCGTCGGTTCGCAGACTTTCGTCGTGCTTCAGATATGGCTGTGAAGACGAGGCACACTGCGCTCCAGCGAGCTCAGAATGAAGTGAATTGGTTTCGGGATATGTATCAGCATCTCCATAACATCATTCGCGGTGAGTGGCACTTGTAGTAACTTGACCTCTTGCATTCTCATTTCTCTCTTTTTGAAGATTCTCCGGCCGGCAGAGACCTGCTTGAACATACAAGCACTTCATCTGAAAGTGTCAATTCCACCAGCTTGCCTGACCTTACTGTGGTGCTCCCTGAGCTCTTGACTCGCTACGAGCGGAGCCAGCGTGACCTCCATGCTCTGCGGAAGGAGCGTGATGCACTGAAAAATACTATGGAGTCCGATATAGGAAGGCTTAACCAAAAAATCTCTGCTCTACAAGCGGATATTGCTACTCTTACAAATAGTGCTTCACCCGAGTCGGACGAGACAGCCGTTGTGGATACACGTGGTCAGGTCGAGTGTCTCCTGCGTCATGTCATTCTTACTGATGGCCTCTACAGGATCTGGACCACTCCGACTAAAGCTGAAGGTGGCTAAACAGCAGGATAGCGAATTCCAGTCCGCCCTCGCCGAGGTTCATACATCGCGAGCGTCATCTGTCCCGCCAGCTGCGTCCCCGAGGCCAAGCAGCTCCCTCCCGCCACATAACTCAAGAAATTCTGTGCCTGTCAAGGTCGAGAGGGCGGAATCTGTCACTTCTGTTCGGAGTACTACGAGTTCTCGGCCTCGGCTCAGCCTCACGGAACTACGAGCTATGCTGGCCGAGAGAATGGCAGGCCAAGCAGCTGCACAGACGTCTATGGTAACGGACAACCCAGAACCACTTGTTTCCTCTGCTTCGGACCCATCAGTAGTATCCACGCATGTTGCTGACACCACTGCAAATGAACCACCTGTCCCACCCATGGTAGACCTGAGGCGTTACTGCGTTTGCGACCAGCTGGCTTACGGCGAGGTACGTTCGCCAATACTATTCCCTTGCTTCCTCATTCATCGACTTATCGCAGATGATCGCTTGTGACGCCCCGGGGTGCCGTCAGGAATGGGTGAGTAAATTCGATTTCTCTCCGAGAACGCCACTGAATGGTCTTTGCCTGACGTCAGTTTCACCTCGCCTGTGTCGGTCTGAGTATCGCCCCCGAAGGTGCCTGGCAATGTCTTGAATGCTCCTTGTCATCGGGGAACCACCATCTACTTTAAGCGTTATTGATTATTGTATTTCCGACCGAGAGTTGGCACGGCCTGGCTTTGTATACTTGATGTAGAATACCCCTGGTTTCATATCGCTGCTTCCATGTCTCCTTTCCTAATGGCATTAGAATTTCTTGTGCAGTCGAAAGACTGGAAACTGAATCGCTCTCCGCTCCGAGTCTCGGGGCAAGGGCTTAGTCAGCCGGAAACGCGTCTTGGGCGCGTACGCCGCGTGGTTCGACGAGGACTGTTGTCTCCGCCTTGGTCGCCACAACCACACCCACATTATTCCTTCCTTCGTCGTCGTCGCAGACGACTCCCGGAGCCCTTGCCAAAGCTCTGAATCGGCTGGCAGGGGTCTAGGCGACCGTTGCTTCGATTCCATTGCCAAATAAAGATTGATTGGGCCAAACAGACGCGGTTCGTGTTAGGACAATCAACAAGTTTGCAGCGTGCTGCATCTGCACGCTCTGCGCATTGCGCAAGCATGGCCAGTCTCTCTGACGGCGGCAGCGCCGCCATTCAAGACCCCTCAGCACCGCTCAGTCTCTCATCCCCTGCAGACATGCGTCTCCATCTTCAAAGCCTTCTGGATCTCAAGGAAAAGCAACTTCAACAGGCGGGCACGCTCGGGCAGCGCGTCCTTGCGCAGCAGCTGGAGCTCGAGGAGAAAGTCAGGCTGCTGCAAGAGATGGAGACTGATCGAGGGGAGGACGAGGATCTCGATGCGGACATGCGGGAGAGGTATCGTGAGCTTGCGGAGACGATCAAGGCCTGGGACGAGGAGAACTCGCAGATCTCGAGCGCGTTCGGGAGTCAGGTGCGATCGAATTCTTATCTCTTTGTTCTATCTAGCCTCACACGGGTGTAGCGTTTGGTTAATGGTACTGCTCATCCGTCGCCCCCTCTGCAGGCTGCGGAGCTGCCGCGGGAAGAGCCCGATAAGTCTGCCACATCTGTCGGGACATCGGCGGCTCAGTCGAGGAGAGCGCGGAATGCAGCTCACCGCCAGGATGACGTAGGTATGTGTATCTCACTGCTTCGTAATAATTCAAGGCTCATCTCGACCAGAATTCGCTTTCGAAATCGGCAGTGGACTCTTGACTGAGGTCCGCCGCCTGCAGAGTCTGCTTGCGGAGCGTGACAAGGCGATCCAGGACATGAAAGAGGAGAAGGATGACCTGGAGAGGACGGTCGAGAATCTCCGCACCGCTTTACGGCAACAGGAGCAAAGCGCAGGTGCGGCCACGGTGTACGTAGTTTATCATTGATCTAACTTCCGCTCTAGAGAAGTACAAGGAGGAGAACTGGAACCTCGAGGTCACCTTGCAAGAGATCAGGGTTCAGCTCAATGAAAGCCAGGGCAATGTCCAGCGACTGGAGGGCGAGCACAAGCGTCTAACCAAGCAGCTAAACCAGTCGCGTGATGCAGCCGAGCAACACAAGAACGAGGCTGAACGCCAGAAGGTCGCCTACGATGAGCTCAAGGCCAAGCACGAGACCGACGTTGCCCATGCCCGCAAGCACGCCGCGGGTCTCCAGCGCGAGAAGGCGGACTTGCAGCAGACGATTGAGAATATGAAGACTGAGGCTGCTCGCGCTGCCAGGCGATTGCCAAGGTTCGGCTCTCCCGTGACTCCAAACGGCGTCGACAAGAGCCTCCTCGTCACTCCCAGTGTCAACGGTGAGGACGACGTCTTTGGTACGACTGGAGGAGCGTCCACGAGGAACCAGAAGAAATTCGATAACTCGGGCCTGTTTCCAGAGGGCTTGGGCGATTTCGACGAGGCGTCACCCGATCCGTCGCCTTCTCGGCCGTTCTTATCTCCTAACCATCCTTCTAATGAGATGGAGGCCCTGCAGCAGAGGTTCGCACATGCACAGAGGCAGATTAATACCCTGAAGAGTACGTTGCAAAGGGAGAAAGAGATGAGGATGGAGTACAGAAGAAGACTGGAGTCTTCCGGTCAGACCGTACAGGAAGATGAATTAGGTGAAGAGATTGTCACTGAGGACGCACGCAGTGTTTCGAAGCCCAGACGGTCTACGCCTTACCGCGCTGCCAGAGGTCGGGGCAGAGGGAGAGGCGGGCTCACACTCGCTCAGCGACTGGGCATGGCTGCGAAGAACCCCTCGTCCGACGTCGAGGATGAAGAGGAGTATGTGGATGACCTTCCCTCTCCACCACCGGTACCGCCCATTCCCGCCAAGTTCCAGCGCGACGAGGAAGATTCCGACGAGGAGGCTAGTCCTATTCAAGAGCCCACATCGCCGTCTCCGTCCAACCGTGCCAGCGTGGACGGGATGGACCCTGCCTTCGCCAACATTCTCCGTCGCTCCTCTTCAGCTGGGTCTTTGCCCACGCAGTCGAGTCCGCTTCGGCAGTCTGTTGTCCCTCGGTCGCGGGGTGGGACCATCGGGCGTCGGACGGCGGGTGCTGCGTACAAAGAAGCCAGGCCACCCTCACTTGTAGGACAACCCGAGGCGTTGGCGGCCGAGCTCGGCCTTGCTCCCGCCATCTCTGACAATGGTCTCCTACTGGAAGCGAAGGTGGAGACTGTCGAGTTTGGTGTCCAGACAGACGAAGTACCAGAGCCAGTTCCTGAACCGGTTTCTGAGCCTCCTGCGCCTGAACCGAAACCGGTCGTGGCGGAAGTGGCCATCCAGGTTGATCCCGAACCAACGCCAGTGCCTGAACCTGCTCCTGTGATTGAGAGAAGCGAATTTGCCGCTCAGACAGAGCCTGAGCCCATGGCAGAACGTACAGAGACGGGTATGCAGCATGACACTGCGCCAGTGCTCGTATCTGCTGGTACTCAGGCCGATGAGCCCACTCCATCCCGTCCAGCTCTTGTTCAAGCGGAAGTGCAGGCCTCTGTCCAAACTGTCGACGCTGATTCACAGACTCCTCCGCCTCGCTCCCCCGCCTCTGCGAATGGAATTACACAAACCGAATCTGTTTCGACAGAACGGCCGGCCGCCGTCGATCGACGCGCTACGATCACCAAGGCCAATCTCTCGCAGTTCTCGCAGGAATTGAGTGGCGATTCCACCATCCGTGGTCAGGCGTTGTCCAAGATTATCACGTCACAGACCCAAGATGAAGACGACGCAGCGACTGAGACCGGTATTGAGACCGACACGGATGCCGATATGTACGAAGATGCTAGGCAGAGTGTCTCGTTGACGACCCCGAGCCAGACGAACGAGGACTTCCACTCGATCTACACCGTGACGGACAATGATTATCCGGACACTGACGAGGATGATCTGGAGAGCATTAAGGCTTCCCGGCTGGCCAGTCGCCAGGACCTGACGACTGCTGCTTCTTCCACACAGCAGTTACCACCAGCCCCTGCTGTGTCGTATGAGTCTGTTGGGGTGTTCGCCGAGGCGCCTGAACCGCCGAAACCAGAGATGAAGGAAATATCGATACAGACGGACGAGTGGGTGCCCCCGGCTCCAGTACCCGCTGCTTTGCCTGTTGCTCCTACTGCCTCTTTGACTCCCGCTCAGATAGCCGCCGCGCTTCCTACGCCGCCCATTGGGCCCGTACCGGCTGTTGCGTCTACGCAGGCACCAGGCTCGCCTCCGACCGTTTATCGCGTAGGCCAGACAGCCTCCCAACAGTTCCATTTCATCTCCCCGCCGCCCTCTGCTGGTCCTCTGACCACCACTATGCCGGTCTCACCGTCCCCAGCGCCTAGTACGCCTGTTCGTGAGGCGAACATCCCTCGACCCCGGACTTCGCAGTCTGACAGGCGCCGCTCCATCGAGTCCACTCTTTCCGCTGCCTTAGAGCAGGAACCAATCCGTTCAAGAGCTCCTTCTGCAGTTGGCTCACCAGCTGTGGACAAATCTCGGCCGCCTATGATGATGCTGCCTCCACCGCCCCGTGCACCTCCTCCACCTAATAGTATGCCTCCTCCTTCCTTCATACCCGAGAGAAGATTAGCTGCGAGTTCTACGTCTTCTCGAGAGGGACCTCCCCCTCGACCGACCTCTCCACCGCCGCCGGAGCTCATCCAGCGTGCCACCACACCCACTTTCGGATCGAATCTCCCTATTCCTGGCAGAGGAAGTTACGGGCCCCGTCCACATGGTTCAAGTTTGCCGCCATCGCAACAGGCTATTGGACAGAGACCCTCTACCACGAGCTCTAGGTCTGCCGCTAATGCTGTGAACCATACTCAACAGTCTTCGATGCCTAGTCCCTCTGCTCTGGCAGCCTTCGGGAGAAGAGAAATGTCCACCACATCATTACTCTCCGAGAGAAGTATGGGCTCCGCGCGATCGTCAATGTCGTCCGATCACTTCATGGACCGTTCCCAAGGGCACTCGGCAGCAATCACCCCTGGACGTAGTGGTGCAGCCGATACGACTATTCGCAGCGGCGGCTCTACGGATCCCGCTGTTATCCATGCCATCACGCAGACTATGATCGGCGAGTTCTTGTATAAATATACCCGGCGTGCGATTGGAAAGGGATACGGCGAACGAAGACATCGTCGTTTTTTCTGGGTTCATCCTTATACTAGGACGTTGTATTGGAGTTCTGCTGACCCGACCTCCTCGAATGTCACCGAGTCAAGCGCAAAGAGCGGTGAGTATGCACTCATGCATGCATGCATGCATTCATTACGTACCAGCACAGAACTTAATGGCTCTTTTCTTCAGCATATGTCGAGGGTGTTCGGTCCATCCTAGATCCCAACCCCCTTCCTCCTGGACTTTACCAGTACAGCGTGATCGTGTCTACCCCGACCCGAGAGATGAAGATTACTGCACCGACTAAAGAACGCCACGATATCTGGTTCAATGTTCGTTGTTCCTTTCATGCTTCGCATACATCTCATTCATTTCGCTTTCTAGGCTTTGAAATATCTTCTCTCGCGGCCGAGTACTGTGAGCGTCGCGTCCCCTGCTAACCTGGGGAACGGAGGCGCGGCTCCACTGAGTCCAATGTCCGCTCAGACCGACTTGCCCGATGCAACCGCCAGTGACCGTCAAAATCCCCTCCTGGGTAGCCCTCAGAGTCGCCGGAGCGTGCGGAGTGGGAGGACGGAAGCTAGCGGTGACTCTTGGAACCATACCCCGAGAGGTAGGCGCAGTCACTCCCAACTTTCAGCTCGTGGGTCCATCGGGCCACGAGCAGGGACACCGGCAGCCGAGTATCTGCGCTGGGCTGGAGCCTCCGAAGAACCTCAGAGCCCTTCTAAGTCATTCGAACACATTCTCGGGCAGGACAATGACGAACTCGACTTCGAGCTGCATGACGAGACCATGTCAGATGGCGGTTTCGAAGGGTTGGAGAACGTCCGCGCATGCTGCGATGGCCGGCATACTGTAGGTCGGAAAGGCGGCAAGGATCATCACCACCACCACCATCACCACGATCATCCACCTAATCATCTGGAAGTCAACCCTGGGGAAGTGAATCGGCCGGCTTCACCTGCATGGTCATTCCGTTCCCGCCGCAGTAGTTCACAGTCCAGAGAGACGAAGGGTCGCTTCACTTGGGGACGGGAAGACGGGAAGCTTAGATTTGGCTCGCGGAGATCCACAAAGACCTCGACGAGTATTCCCGTTTCTACTGCCACCCATGAACAGTAATACTTGTTTCTTTGGGATCTGCAGTGTCAGTTGCTTATTTTCGGTTCGTTTACTATCTAATCTTTGCATAGTCCACCTACACTCCTTTGACTTAATGACCGCCTGTTCATGATTCCCGTTTCTATGCACGGTTTCTTCATCTTGTATGCAACTATCTTGTGCCATTACGCCCGTATAAGCCAAAATCAAGACATTCTTTCATTTCTAACTTTGCTGCGTGTTGCGGTTATGAAGACCGAAAGTTGAAACGGATAATGCTCCCCTCAGTAGGCTGAAGGTACACAATAGATGTGTGCGCGCATGAAGGAAGGCTGTGGTTGCGGTGACCCTCACTATTCCCATTCGTTGAATCTGGACGTAACTCAGCCAGTACGAGGTATAGATATCATGATGGATCTCATGCCGAAGGACAAGTGCACGGAGTATTTGCCCCTGGAAAATTCTGCAAGCCCTCAGAAGGCTCGGGGGGGG